TGATTTTTTTTGGGGGGGGGGTGCGCCGTTTCTCCCCCCTTGAATCAGCCAGTGTTTTATATCCCCAGTTTTTTAAGTTAGTGCATTATAAACTTTTTATCTGCTGTCAGAAACTTAGTAAGGTAAAAAAAAAGAACGCTGAGGTTTTACCAATCTTTTTGTAAAGAAGATGTTTTCCTTCATGCCCAAGAAAATATGTTATTTTCTTTTTATGAATAAAGTTAACTTTGCAAAAGTGCAAGGATATGTGTCAATGAAATGCATCTCGAATTTCGTAGTTTTTAAAAACAACTTTGAATAAAAAAGGTTTCTGAACACGATTTTAATATATTTCTTTGTAACCGTTTTAAATGCTTTAGCAACATATAAATCATGTTATCATTAAATTTTTTTTTTTGAAAATATGATTTTCAAATTTGCTGTTCAATTCACTGCTAGCCTCCTCCCTTTTTCACAACTTTTGTTAAAGTATTGCTTTGTCTTCCCCAAATAAATGTGTTGTAATTTTCAAAAAAAAGGTCTTTAGGCTTGTAATAGCTGAAAAAAAATGTTACATTTCACTGTTTATTCTGAGACATTAACGAAGCCAAAGAGATGACATTTCAGGCTTTCTGGAAATCCAAACTTGTTGATTACTTTGGCACAATTATTATCGTGAATTGACTGAAAAAAACAATGTTGTAGAGAAATTTTATATAACTGATTTATACTCAGATATGCGGTATATAAGGGGTGTCAAGAAAGATCGTTCTATAATGAAATATTTTTGAAAAATTCAAAGTACATGTAGTGTTTTCATATAACTAAAGAGATTTATTATCCAGTCTGACAGACTAGTAATTACAAGACTGTACTTCTGATTTATAGCAATAAATTTTTAACAGGAAATGATAGCATTTTTCCCAAAGGAAAATACATAACCATCTTCAAAACATCCAAATGACAAAAGCGCTGATCATTTTGTGTGAAAATGTAAGATTATTTACTTTTTTTCTTCGCAGCTTATCTTGCATCTGATACAAAACTGATGAGGTTAATAAGTAAAGGAAAGATCAGTCACTTTTACAAAAAAATAGGTGTGTAATATTGGACTTCTATGCGGACTTGCTGAGTTTTGCATAGGTATTTGAAAGGATATATTGACCTGTATGCTTAAGATATTTCACAAATATGCTACAACTCTGATTTTTCTGAAGAGAAATCGTCTGTTTCTTTACCTGTCCTCCCTTATTCGTTTTAATCAAATACATTAAGTTAAAACCCTATCAGTAGCATGAATGAAATCTGTGAAAATGAAATTTCACTAACTTTAAATATCTTCGTACTGTTTTTAATATTTCATAAATATGCACTTTAGAATCTGTTTCTTTTTTAAATCATATAATTTTTTTAATTTTAGATCTATTCTTTAAGCAGATTTAACTTATTTTTATACTCAATCAAAGGAGGAGGTATTCATAATCTGATTCATGAGAAGTAAAAGACATTTGATGAGATGCATTCAAATCGAAATTTAGATATGTAGACAACGTCTTTTCAAATACACATTGAAACTTCAATACAGATGTGGACTCGCTTTATTTCAGTGAAATTGAAATAAAAGTTAGGATCCAACTTTAGACACTTTTGTTTCATATTTGAAGAAATGTCTAGAAAAAGACGTTAGCGTAACCTTACAACACGACTTTAAAGAAAACAAAACGCGATTAATCCATAGTTTACGTACTGCAATAGTTCTTAAATCTATACTATGAGACGTCGAAATTGGTCATTCAAATAAGTCCATATAAACCAAAGTCAGCTTGTCACAGTAAACAGCTGGCATGAGAAAGATTCCTCACTACTCAATGCCCGTAAGTTCTGGGCAGAGGACAAAATTTGCAGCAACCTTATAACCATACGTAAGTCAAAAATCAGTTTTAAGTCACAAGTCAAAGGAGTCCAAGTACATTCCGATCAATTTTACATTAGGTGTTGAATTACATTTAAATCTAATTTTTCCGTGTTGAAATGCAAGGAAAAAGATATACGTTGATATAATATTATAATCTTCAAATTTAGAATTATTATATATATATATATATTGCAAAAAGTAAACATGCATGCATACTTTGAAAGATAATAAAATCTATATTTCTTGTTTAGGAAAAACACTCATTGCTAAGGTAGGATGCACAAAATTGTTTGGAATTATAAGCATTCTAAAATATGAATATTTTTAGTTCATAATAATATTTGGCGCTATTTTTCATCGGTCAGGACAGGATTTTTTTTTTTTTTTTTTGTAAAGTATCTCTGAGTCATTAAGAAACTTATACCTTATTTTTGTCTTAGATATTAATGTTTTATCTAGCCTTGGTTGTTTCTCTGTCAACGGCAAACGGGGACACACAGACCGGAAGTTGTAAGGATATGTTGCAGGGTTATCTAACAGGACAATTGTCGTCTGCTCTAGGAGTATATCGGGTGGAAGCTTTAAGGCGGGAATTCAAAAGCTTCACTGACGTCATTGGGGAATCAATGAAAAAGTTTAAAGAGGAAGTAAATACAAGCATTTAGGATGATGGTAACTATTCAAACACATAATCACTATACGCTTTGGAAATTAATGTGTTGAGTGTAAATTCCATTCATTGTAAATACTGAAATGCAAAAGAATGATAATTCAATTTTCTACATTGTTTTTAGTTTTAAAAATCAGAGGTTCAGCTTCCTTTTTTGAGAATAACTTTAACATGTTCAACAAAGTTCCAATATATCGACGACGTATTATCAATTAACAATAGTACCTTCCATTCATATGTCGACTCAATACATCGATGAAATAAACAATACTTAAAAGTCTAACATGTTTGTTTTATATTTAGGAATTTTACTGTCAAGAGTCATTAGTGATAACTGTACAGCAAAACTTTTTGCTGGGGTTTTCTGATATTTATGCTATTTAGTATAAATTGTGACAAAGAGTGAAGAATGGCCCTTGTATTTGGACAAATAGAATATCTGTAATGGATATATGCCAAATACTGTTCTATATGTAAAATTATCAGACTGTTTGAGGCCCGTTAGGGCCGAAAACTGTCTGAAAATTTTACAGTTAGAATAGTATGAGGCATATATCTTTCTTAAAACATTGCCATTTAAATGTCCAAAAGTTACCTGGAGGAGTCCGATAATAACACAACGGGAGTTTAGGCATCTATTGTTTTTTATCCGTCTAATAAGTAGACATAAGAAATGAGACAGTAAAAACAGTGAGTAAAATCTTGTTTCATTTCATTCATCCAATGGCCGTAGTTTAGCTTAGCAGGACAGGGGTCCGGTGGAAAAGAATTTTCTTTTTCTTTTGGAGCATTTTTATTTATTTTGTGCATAAATTGACATTGATACATATTTCATTTTTCGTGATATTATTACCATCACCATGGAAAGAAAAAATGCATATTTTCTTCCTGGAGGTTCAGTCTATATAATGGAAATTATAAGGTTTTAAAAGTGCAGCCATTTGGAAACAATCCTTATAAAATTAAAAGATTTGCCGATTATTTCTCAGAAATGGAATTAAATTCGTTTATTCAAAGTGCTGTATCAGGGTTTTAAAAGGTGTGAAGTATTAATTTTGAGTAAGGTTTAAACTCGATTTTTTCACCGATTTGCTATTTTGTAGCAACTTAATTTCCTTGCAATTGCTTTCCCTGAATTTTTATCCTATCATTTTTTTTTTTTTTTTTTTTTTTTTTGGGTTTTGGACATATTTAACCTTTATTTCAATCTTCTTTTTGTTTTTTAAAATATAGTCCGAATTTGTTACGATTGCCGTCCGATAATATATTATCAGATTGGTAATTATTATTATTGGACGGCTACAGGTAAATTTTTAGACTGCAAGAACAAAGGCATGACGTCACAGCAATGTGTTAACGTGAAATATTTTCTTAATAAGTAAAAATCAGACGTGTTCCGTGCACTTTTTATATGCATGTACCAAGATCAAGATTAATTAGTTATGTGACATTTTTTTCAATTATGTTTTGCAGTTGTTCGGTACTATTTCTGTGCAACATTTAGGAAGTGATATAGTGTCCGTAAAGTGATCAACAAGGACATTTGACATCACAAGATGCATTAATATAACACCTGATTAAATTCTCATCACAGATTGACTGCAAACACTGATAACATATTGAATTCATATTTAAATGTTTATTAGGCTTTTGGGCAGTCTAAACATACATGTATATGTATCTGTGAATGATAAATATCAAAAAAAAATGGAATTTTTGGTTTTCGCAGGTATAGGAAACAGAAACACTGTATACACAAGATGGGGAAAGAAGACATGTCCTTCCAACACAAAACTTGTTTATTCTGGTAAATATATTTGATACCTGGAAACATGTAATTGTTTGTGTTAGTACAAGGCATTTAATTGGTATTAAATGTTTATATAAATTGTATTCATTTTGGGAAAATGTACATATACTGAGAAATAAGTGTGTATTTAAACAGCATAGTATGTTGAATAGTGTCCCAGTCAGCATCGTTATATTGGCCCAACGATGAATACAAATGTTGACACAATATTGGACTTAAGCTATAGTTATCTTGGCACTGCACTGGCCTTACATTAAATTTTGATTAAATGGACGTCAGCCCAAAATCGGACTTACATTTGACTTAATGATACTAGAATTAGGTAAACATAAGACACACTGGACTATTATAAGCCCGACTACATGTGGCTAGTGTATCCTGATAAAATGTTGACGGTGCAACCGTTAGGGCGAGCGCAGATACTTATCCAGTTTTCATTTAGATCGAACCCGTCATACCGCACGTGGCATTCGGTGGGTATTAGACTCTGACGTCACATGACGTCGTTTGCCTATCTCCTATGCAGAGTTGTCGTTCGTTCATCTTTCTGAGCCGATGGTGGAGAGCAATTTCCCATGCAGAGTTGTCGTTCGTTCCTCTCTCTCTCTCTCTGAATGTATGAGCCGATGGTAGAGAGTGAGTAGAGAGTGGTCGTTTGCATGTTGCTTTAACAAACCGAAGCCTGAACAGGACTGATTTTAATCAGTTTATGATTATTTACTGCAATAAACAGAAATATTCATTAAATCAAGGCAATAAAGTGCTTCTTTCTTTTAACTTTTGTCGTTATTCTCGCGAGAACGTAGCTTAAGCGATTGTGCACAAAGCGATGCATTGTGGGTCAAAATTACTGCAGAAAAAATTCTATGGATTGAATGTGCAGTAGTACGAATTTTCTATTCGCCCAGGCGTTGTCGTTAGAGCTCGCAGTTACGAGCGTCGCTTCGCGACGCTCGCTGCTCTCGCTATTACGAATAATTGTACCTTATTAAACAATACAAAACTCTTGCCCATCTATGTAATGCCAAAATCTCCGTACAACAAACATGACAAAATGGTTACCAACGCTAGACCAGTATGTTTTTTCTGACTGCATGGGTATAGCATTCTCAAAATACATGTAAACGGAAGATGTTGTTAGGCATAATTTATTAACATTATAAATGGTAAATACTTTAAAATTTTAGGGTTCACTGGAGAATCTCATTATACTCATAAAGGAGCAGCTGTAGATCCCCTTTGTTTACCAAGAGATCCAGAGTGGGGGATCTACAGAAATGGAAATGATGCCAATAGAGCTTACGTATATGGCGCAGAATACGAACTGGGTGCCTTCCCGAGTCGCTTTTCGTCACTTACTCATCAAGTCATACCCTGCGCAGTTTGCCTTGTTCAAAACAGATCCGTTGTGAAAATGTTTCCAGGCGAGTAAATTAATACGACATGTTTAGCAATAAAGAACAAGGTTCACTTTTGCCCTATTTGGCACGGTGAATTTCTGAAAAAATTGAAACTCTATTAATAGTTTTAGTTAACAATGCAAAGAAATATTGTGACTGTGGATCTATCAAAAATGACGTAATTTTCTGGCTCGCCAATGCATTCATCGTCAATTTCCTCATATTCTGAAAAAGTCTACAAAAACGGCCAATTTTTAGAGCTATTTTTCGATATTTAGTATAGAGCGCAATCTCTGATCTAAAATATGCAACCATTAAATGATAGGACTGTTTCTGGGGATTAAAAGTCATGTTTTATTTTTCAGATCAGAGAGTGCGCTGATATTATTTTTCTTCACCGAAAGTACTCAATTATACCTACTTACCTTAAAATTCAATAACATTGCAATTTCATAAAGCTGGACTTTTAGGAGAAAATTTTTAATAGGTTATGAAAGTACTAAGTCTCTCTTTGTGTTTTAATGCTTCAAATGGAAAATCAAGTGTTAATCAATCAGTTGGTATATCTACAGGGCCATTTTATGCATAAAGTAAACCGAGCTCTTTTGGACAGAGACGTATTTTGTTCATTTCGTTACAAGATTTTTATTATTCTAAAATGTAATAAAAGAACTTTCCGTGAATACAGTTGTTGTTAAGGGATATTTTATTCAAAACCATAAAGCAATTGCATGCATTCAATTCTCCGGAATTTCAACTAGTATAATCTAAAAGATAGGAGAGAGAACCTATTTTGTCCTGTTTTAAAGATATCGCTTTTGTAAAACAACTTATTTGAGCATAATTTAAGAAAGTAGTGTAAAGTAAACTTGTTTTACATTCAGCAAAATTTATTTATGCTTTCCCTTTTTCAAAATCTTTTCACATTTGTTATTGAACTATTTTTAGCAAGAAAAACCTGCTTCAAAGGTTGGGACTTTGAATACCAGGGATACCTAATGCCTGGGTACCACGGTCATGCAGCTAGTACAACGTACAAGTGTGTTGACGAGAATCCAGACACCTTTCATGGTGGCAAAGCTGGTAATTATGGCTACCTATTCTACCTGGTAGAAGGACGCTGTGGTTCATTGAAATGTCCACCATATGTCGAGGGAAGAGAGATTGTTTGTGCTGTTTGTTCCAAAAAATGAGGAATAAATACACAAAGTGATTAAACTATTTACATCAGATTTTTTTTATTAAGATTATGTATATTGACCATGTATTTGTAACGTTTAAAAACATTTTGTTTTCATGCTGGTTTAGTACTAATAAGATTTATTAGCAATGGCGGGGAACTATTGATCAACGTTTGAAATGATCCGTTTTAATGCCATATTTTGGTAAACTTATGTGATTTAAAAAATTCTTAAAGTTTCTTAATGTTTACAAGTATCAACTTTAGTTAACATAATGTCTCAAATACATTGTTGCTAAGTAACCATGAAGCCTGCAAAACATTTGTGAGGTATATTTAAATACGTTTTATGAAACAATACCTACTATAATCCGTTATATGTGGTGCAAAAAGATATGTCAAAAAAGAGAATATTTATGAAATGTAGAATCATGTATAATAAATTCCACTTGGTTGAAACGACATGAAATATATGAAGATAAAGAACAGTATTCAAGCTCAAATGTCCATTAACCAATACAAATTTTTTAACACAGCAAACATACATCTCTAATATATCAGAGGTTGGTTATTTCTCAGTCATGACAAGGAACAACTCGCGAGTGTAATCGGTCGGCAGGGAATGTTTACTCCTCCGGGGTA